TGTAAGTAATGATTTCCTACCGGTATTTCAAGCCGATCCACCAGTACACCGTTCTACTCTGTTAAAACGGCTCGTACTCCAGAGATAGAGGCGATTATTCTTGTTTCAGTTGTGAAGTGCACTTATGCCACTTTAATGCGAATATACTTTTGAACTTCTGGAAAGGCTAAAAGATATGGTCAGTTTTTTCAAGATGTTTTGGTAGGGCAGAGATAGAATGTTGGCATGTAGCATCGGTATCACAAAGTCTATTTTTCTTACTAGCTCACAATCAAAGTGAAGACCGCCCAGATTAGTCAAGCCTATTTCATCGCTTGTTTGATATCAAGCACACCACAACACGAAGGTTGATCTTGTATAAGACCCCACAAGACATTAACAGGGTGGGCACCATCTTGCAGTAACCTAAGGAGATTTCAATCCAGGTTCGAGTATAAATCTGCTATCTTTTCTCGTTGCAACATGAGCTAGTTTTGAAAATAGCCCATCAATATTTCACAGTAAACCTACTTTTATAGACATGGTCCCAAAATTGGCAAATAAGTCTGAAATGATCCTGTATAATAAAACGGTCCATGTGCAACATGTTAAGTTCTCGGCGAGAGTTGGAAGGTTTGTTGGGTGGTTACTCTCTTCATTTTTATGATATTAAAATTCTTTCAGTAGTTTTCGGGGTATTCGACCAGAGTGGGTGAGCGAAAGAATATGGAAAACTCTTCGTCTCTTCAAGCGTCACTTTGAAGATGTGAGTGAATGGGACGGTTTTGTTCAACACAATGTGAAGGGTTCTTACAAGGAAGGTCTTTCAGGACTTTTTCGAAATGGTTTTCTGCATGTTGTAGGGCTCATGCGAGGAACACAGAACCATGATCCATTTTTCCTGAACGCCTCCAGGAATGTCAAAACAGTGGTGAAGAAATGGTCCAGAGTTCGATCCCCGGTGATGACTAATTTTTGCAATATAGTTTGGCGCCCCCAGATTGCCGCCAAATGGCGCCATCGTCGAGAATAGATGTCATTGTCGTGTTTTGCGGCAATTTGGAGGCGCCAACATAAATTGCAAAAATTTGTCATCACGGAGGATCGAACTTTGGACCATTTCTTCCCCGCTGTTTTGACATTCCTGGGGCGTTCAGGAAAAATGAACCATGGTTCTGTGTTCCTCACATGAGCCTCTACAACATTCAGAAACCATTTTGAAAAAACGCTCCATGTCCTGAAAGACCTCCTTGTTAGTCAAACGATGGAAAGATCACAAATTCGTAACTAAACTCCATACATGTGAAGACCGACGGAAAAACAATACCGACCTACCATATTTTCTAGCCATTGTTCAAACACACAATGAAACATGGACACATTCTAGGCTTCTCAGGCAAGAATTGCACTCATCGTCGCTAAGTGCCTCATGACGAGTGTGTTTCGATGGATTTTTCATTTCGAAATGTATTATTAAACACTATGCTGAATGTCGCGCAATTTTGTCACATTCAAAGGGCAGCCATTAATGTCGGGCAAAACCCAGATGCTAAGCTTTCTGAATGGTGCCACTCTCATGTTTAAAAGAACCTTCTTAGAAAAGCGCATGTATGTGGTAACATATCTATCGATGCTTATTTTGTTTAGGTCCGGCATCTTATTGGAAGCATCCGCTACGGATGCGGCTGCAGGTACAATTTTATGAAGAGACTACATGGAAATGGCGTGCTACTTCCAAAAATACGTAGCTCCAAGCAGTGAAAGGTCGTATAACTTCGTATAATGTAGATCACAACTGCAGTTGACTCGTGCCGTTTCGAAACCTTTATTGCAGGAAAAAGAAGGAAAGCAATGATTGACCAGAAGCTGCCTTTTCTGATGTCACGCCCCTTGCCCGCAACGCATCATGCGAGATTCGCGATAAGAAATAATGGTAACTCAAATAACCAGGGTGATGCTCGCAGGGGAGACTAGTAATTGACGTGATTGCAAGAAGCTCTTAGATGCAAATTTGTGCCTGTCGTAATGGCTAACCGCAAATTGTAAGCGGGTGTCTGTAGTTGAAGATAGGAATTGACCCATCTAATTTGTAATTCGCGTTTCATGGCAACAAGAAATGACTGCCGGCCCAACAGTAATATCCCGCTCAGAGGAGGACTTCACAGGTAAAGCACAAGGTCAAAGACGGGGAAAACTGCAAAGTTGGAAGAGAGGCGGACCTGAGAGTGCTCGTCGTCCGCAACTTTTCAGCGATAGATTTGACGTGGGCAATCTAGCATTTCTCATTGTTGGCGCGTTTGGAGGGGTCTGCGACCATCTAATCACTCGCCGCAGGTCTATACGTGGCGAGCGACTAGATAGCAGAAAGGGAGCGTAGTTTTGAAAAGGGCATAGCGGCGATAGGTCGGCATATAAGCCGCAAAATCAAGCAGCAAGGAAGGGGTATCCGTTTCCTCAAGTTTTCGGGACTTTCCAGCATGATTTCTTCTCATACCTTGCTCCCAACTGACCACATAGATACCCTTCATTTTTGCCCCGAATGGGCTTAAAGGGTTAAGTCATATAAGTAATCATCCGACAATGAGGGGCTCAAGAGACGGAACAGGTCCAACAAGTGAAAGGATTCTGTCACATTCCAGGTGCTTCTATTTGTGTGATGAGGGCGCTATACCACTAACCAAAACAGCGCTATGCATCACATGCTTGGGTCTTCTACAGCACTAGCCACTTTTTTTGAACTTTTTCACAACACCTGTACAACATCAAGTTGCTCACAGCGTTTCGAATAATAAGAGGAGATGTTCGAGTTGTGCAGTACTGAAACGCTTCTACTTGATTCACTGCACAGGGAACTCTCACAGTACTTCCAGGATCCGTCTATACCACTTCAAGGCCTAGCCAGCCGCTGCTTCAGGAACTCGCACCAGACTGTTGACATGGCACTTCCCCTCTTCGTTCAAATATCGTTTCACAGTTTATTACCAATATTCTTTTTGACCCGACATCTTCCACTGGGAACTACTCAAAAGCCAATTTCAACTACCCACGATTTTTAAGTCGTATATTGCAAGCGGCGAACGGAAGCCATACTGCTCGATTGAAAATAAAGCGTGACGTTTTCGCTTCTCCCATGTTTTATTGTATTTCTGGGACACCTTAAATTACCAGGAGAATTGATGCCGTGAAATCTTTATAATAAACAACCTCTCTGAAAAGTTACTAGCTGGTTGAACGGGCTTTATGCCGGCTATGTGTGTCTGCCATTTTCATGCATCACTGTTCACAGAATTGAATTCTGTTGTTCACTCATGCACTCTTCGTTATCTTCGTTAACAAAGAATGAATTAAATATAAATGCAAGTATCGCTGCTAGAATACACTAGCGAATGAAAAACTTTCATCGCTGAACATCGATTGCATTTCATAACCAGGCTATGGATACGGCGGCTTGTTCACGTACAACAGGAACGTCAGTCGAAGAGGAAATATGGACACCATAAGACAAACGAGCAGCAGAATAAACGACAAATAAGTTTTGGGAATGAAGCTGCATTTTCCAAATGAGTTTGATGAAGAGACACCATTATTTAAGCTGTGATTTTTTTGTAAAGCAGGGTTCCTAAACTCTAAGTCAAAGAAAAAAACAATGGAAACCAGTGCCGAAGTCAGTTGGCCTAGCTTCTCTAACAGCCTTGGACTGTACCTGGGACAATTCTAACCGAACGCAACGATCAGAAAAGCGCATTAATCAGACAACGATGAATGAACGAGATGAGGGTGACTGTGCCAAATTTAACCATGAAGGCGGATGCGCTTAACAGCCGTTGGATTGCGCTGCCACTGATGCAAAGAAGGAGAACTGAGGGCAGCGCGTACAGTAGACTGAGCTAGATATGAATTTACCTGTTAGCTGCCGTACCGTAAGGTGAAGCAATGAGTCTGGATCCTATTTTTCTCTGATGTATTTCTCACCAGTCTGGTCCTATCGGTCGCATGAGGGTCCTTGCCAATATGCAAAGAATTTCAATCTTTTCCAAACTTTTCCGAATTTTCTCTCCCAATCGTCAGCAATTGACATGCGTTTCTTCGCTAATCTCTGCCGGTTTGCGCACCGCCTTCCAGCCCCTGAGCCGTATGAGACCGAATCGTCATATTTCAGGTCTACCTACTCCGCCCACCAATACTAGATTTTTCCTTCATCTCTAGCTTGTAGACTTTTTTTCCAATCTCCGTTCTTTTTTTGGAACCAAATTATATTATACATTTGTAGCTAACCACGTCCACTCAAAGGCCCAATGACCCGACCCGCTCCAGCCTTTGCGTGCGCGCTTTCTCTGCTCTAACCCTTTGACGACAATGCGGATTTGCACGTAGCGTGCTCGTGGGACCACGCCTCTTTTTGGCGCGCCCAACTCTCGCACAAAATGGGGCAAAATTGTCCCTAAAAGCAGTTTTTCTATCAAAATTTTGACTATGACAATAAACAAAATATGACTGCAGTCTTAAGCTTTATGATCATGTATTGTTGGAATTAGAAGTGGAAGTTTGGAAAGAAATCTCGGATTTCAAAGGGATGGTGTTTGAAAACTCTAGAAGTTCAAATGTACAGTAGAATTTTTGATATAGTTCAAACTCCTCCTTGTGTCTTAAGACTGTGAAAAGACGTAGAGGTCCTGATCTGTAATTCACCTTAAGCTTAATAATGTAAAACACTAGTTATTAAGTCGTTTGATAGGGTTTCTCATACCAAAATGATACCAGAATGATAGCCAAACTGACTCATTAGGCATTCATCCCAGAATTGTGGTGTGGATTAAGGCCTTTCTTACTAGCAGGTCCTACTCTGTTACGAGTCAATGGCGAATTTTCCAAACCCAGACCAGTACATAGCGGAGTGCCACAAGGGTGTGTCCTATCACCTGTCCTCTTTAATATCTACACTTTGAGTTACCTCGTTTGGTCAGTTCTAAAGGGGTTAAATGTGTGGCCTTTGCAGACGACTTCAAATTATACTACCCGATTTCATCCGCTCATGATAAAGAGTTGCTACAGGGAGCTATAAATGATGTCAGTAATTGGGCTATGCAATGGGAATTGCCCTTATCTAAGGAGAAGACCAAGGTGTTACGGATTGGGAAAATCCCTGTGGATTGTTCATACTCAATCGGAGGGGTTCACCTGGAGGTGGTGAAGAAATGAAAGACCTTGGTTTCCTCTTAAGAAGTGATCTCAGTTTTGAAGAACATTGCTCTATAATCGCCTCCAAAGCAACGATTGTAATGTATAATTTATTTCGATCTTTCTTGACGAAAGACCCACGTGTTCTATTGATGTACGTAATCTCAACCTCGTTCTTGAGTCACTTGCGCTTAGGAGGAAAAAATTTGACCTCTTGAATTTTTTAAGATCCTGCATTTTAAACTGGTCTCGCAAGCCCAAACACTTGTTTGCCTTGCGGGAGTCAAGGACGAGGGGTAGTTCAATGAAAGTAGTGACTCGCAGGGCTAAACGCAACGTCAGGCACCATTTCTTCGTTAACAGGACCTCTCTGGAGTTCGAGAGGCTGGTCAGAATGGGGGTATCTACCAACAAATTCAACTCATTCAAAGCCGCTTTAAACAAGCATCTTACATCATAGTCTTTGCTTCTCGTTTATACGCTGTGTTACGATGTTTGCCACTGTTCATGTTATTTCGCATAATGCTTGGTTTGTTCTTTTTTTCTGAAATGTACACAGCTGGACAAAGGAGCTGGACAAAGCAAGAGAGGAACTCAGAGAGGTCATGACAAAATTGTCGGGTAGACAGATGGAACGAAGCAGACATAGGGACCATGGAAAACGACCGAGGAACCAAAGGGAGGAGGGAGCTGAAAGGAGACCATGAGACTACTGAGACTAGACTAGTGACGACAACTTCGTCAGTGAGTATGCTTGAAGTGACCGTTTGTTAAATTTCCTGATTTGTCTGTTATTTCATTTATAATATCTTGAGTACAGGAATGCGCATATATTTTATCGATTACATGATCATATTTCTCTAAGTTCGACGCTTGAGAAAATGTAAGCGTCGGCGGAAGAGTTAGATCGTTAATAAGGAGCTTCGCATGAGAACTGTATATAAGCATGGCGATGGAACGTCGAGGGTTGTTGGCTCAGGGCGAACGCAGCTTCGATCGAGGACCGTCTTCTCCCGTAGACTGTATTCCCTCCAAGTTATCCAGCGCGTAGACAAGTTACTTCGGCAGATATCTTTTGTGAAATTCGCTGTATAACCATTTTCTGTATTGGACAGTTATCCTCAGACGATTTAGATTTGTATAGTGAGCTAATAAATATTAGTTTTTCACTCAAGTTGATTCGCTTCTCGTCCTAACCCGCGTGGCACGTATAGAAAAAGGGCGAGCAAGATCGAGTGGAAGTGAACACGGCTACGATTGTTTTTTTTTGGCAAAAAAAGAGTAGCTTAAAACCATCTCGGCCAAGACTTTGAACCACTACTGTAAGTGTGCCAATGTCCTCCGCATTACTTCGTCTTCTCTAACCCTGTCTATCTTTTATCAATTTGGAAGTGGTGTTCCTCTTTTGTATTCATTTTTCGCTTCGCTTTTCAGCACTACGATTGCTGTAAACACAGTACGTACATATTCTCAAGTCAAATGATTTTACATTCAAAAACATCACTGTGAATGAAAAGATCTCACATACACGCACACGAATGGCAAAACACAGAAACGCATAGTTGTCATCATTTCTGATCACGCCGAGTCCGCAATACGTCACAACAGTAGAGCGCGTGTTCGCGTGGCAACCGAGGTGGTTGTATTCGATGAGCGCTCGAAATGCCATACATTACGGACAGGGCTTACACAGTTCAATCTACGATGATTACACAATAAAAACCAGCATGTGTCAAAGATCAGAATCAAAGCACGCTAACAATTGTCACAATCGAATAATTTATATAAAAATTGTGATCTAGTCATGACAGTGCTCCTTTACCGAACACCAGACTTTTCCGTGCTGAAAATAGTAGGACTAGAAATCGTTTTTCTTGATGTGATTCTCATATAATCACGATGTGTTCAATATATTCATTCGGTAAAGTATGACATTTTTGGCTGAGGTAGGGCTTAAAAAGGTAGGCGAAGAGTCCACCACTAGGGAAGTCGTTCCCGTATTCGGAGAAAGTATACCGGAAAGGAAAAACTCACATCACATTTGCAACTGGTGCATTTGTCTTCGCTCCAGTGATCACCATCATGACGTCGTTTCCCATCCACATCGCAGGAATTGTGTGCTCGACGTTTACGACTACAATGATAGCGCTACTTGTGAGACCATCGTTCATGAATAGCATAGATTAAAAGCAGTTCTTCATACACATCCAGGACGCCGCGAGCCGATAGGTAAAAGTCACTTACGTGCCAAAACTATGGCAACATGTCAGAAGTTGCGCGTCGAATTCCAACTATCTTGCTGAACTGTCATCTGTTCGGCTGAAGCAAAGCTACGGACTGGCTGTGGACACGGAGCAAACGACGAGGCCATGCTTAGGGCACGAATCATACGCGGAAACTGCTTATTGCCGTGGACACAGAGCTGCTGAAATTGCCTGTGATTTTGGAACTGTCTGCCTAGTGACATTGACTTGTTTCAAATCACGTCAGGAAATCGCGCCTCTCGCGAGGGGAATACCTTTGTAGTTTGCTCACAGCATCGTTCAGCAAATTTGAAAGACAGATTTGGAATCAGCGTTTGAAAAGGCATCAGATGGCGTGATGGAGGCTCATTTCAATCGGCCACTTCGACCTATCATCTTCCCATTGTATAGCATCGTAGTGGCGTTTAAATGCGATTTGGCCTATACAATGGATTGCGGGGACCAGACTGTACAAGATCGTATTCTTGTCAAACTCCCAGAACGCCTGAAACGCAAACTAACACCTCGGAGGGATAGAAGGTTCGTTGGCCCGGACGACGTACAACCCAGGATTCGATCCCCGGACCACGCACGCGTAAGCGTACCGCTTGCCGATCACTACTGCCGCCCCTTTGCAATGAACATTTTTTGAATAACGTACCTTGATGATGTCGACGACAAACCACACGCAGTGTCACGCAAGCAATTTCATCCACATATCAATGTTGATCTCAGGATAATTTTTTTTTTTTTTTTTTTTTTTTTTTTTTTTTTTTTTTTTTTATTTTCACAACGTCCATATTGTTTTGTTGAATTACCCGGATAGAAGAAAACGTTGCGCTGAAATTGATACCAGTTAGGTTCTATGAAACCCATCCTCAGGGTGTAGCAGACTACATCGTGATCAGGATCATAAGGACACTCAAAGCAGGAAAATGGTGGTTTTATAAAGGAAGGGACGTGCATGCCGGGTTCGCGTTCATGGAGAAGGTAAGGAGTAGGGAAGAAAAACTGCGACGCTTGTTTGGAGATCAAGGTAGTTGGACGGGCAGGAATTTTGAAATAATTCAAGACTATCGTAGAATGGCTGAAAAAGTCTTTCTTTGACGGTTGATCCATACCCGTTTGACCAATTACTCGTATACGAAATCGTCCGAGTAAGGTAGGTGAGGAAGAGTAGGTAGCAACCGTCCCGTTGCCCTCAAAATTTCTACGAATTCACATTTTCCTTGGAAAAGGTCCTTGCATGTAATTTCCACCTACCTATGCTCGTTTTTGTCCCCTCCCCAGCCCTCAGTTCCCTCCCCTCCCCCCGGTTAGGATTAATCAATTGAATAGCGCTATCCAATGTGCTGATTTTTCCAAATCATTTGCGCCATTTATTGAGAAGTCACAGCAAAAAGGACGATGTGCGACGGGAAGCTTTATCACAAGTCGGCGATCGAACAAAAATTAGGGGCGGTATTCCACCTCCAAACCTCTTAATTCAAAAGTTGAAGTCCAGCGGGAGGATAGCGAGCATTTAGAACAAATTCTAATCGTAGTCGCTCCTGGATCGTCACTACTTCTCTTGTAAAAACCAATAACGCACCGCCAACCCCATAAAAAAATACCAATCTATGTGCGACCCTGCCCTGCAGATAAAAGCCATAACAGACGATTGAGCCTGAACATAATCCAAACTTTTCAATAAATGATTTGCGTTGCCGCTGACTCCTACCGCGAAATGAAAACTTCTGCGTAGCAGCCCCGCCTTCATCGCAATGGCAAACACACTTGTACTAATATCGTCCTAACCTGTACTCGTTCGATACTGTCGCCGTCGTCACAGAATATTCGTGCAAGTGAGGCCTTCTTTATCTGTTGAAGTTGTAACTTTGTGAAGATGCCTTCGTTCTCGTACCTAAATAAGCACGCATCATACCAATGACGTCATTGATACCGTGAGCAACTAAACATTCATTCCTTTTTCAAGTGTTGAGCTTGCATCTAAACTGGCTGCGACAGCTTTTAACCACTAGTGTATGTCATGGAGATGTATTTGGCACGACTGCTTGAGAGCGGAAAGTTTTTAAGGAATCCTTCGGAAAAATCGTGATTCTATCTCACCATAATTCACTGGCTTGGGACCCATCGTTCACGAAAAGAACAAAAAATGTTTGTTTTGGTAAACAATTCGGAAAACCGTATGAACTGCTACGCGTTCAAGTTTCCGCCAGACATCTGTCACAAATGCTGGCGGCGGTTCTTGAAGTGCCGTCGCTAGAAACTTTTTCTGGCCTTTCAATATTGCGTTAGCTATCACATTTCCAATCCTATTCTACGGTCGTTTTGTCTCTATTCTCCAGAATTACCAGTTACCAATTACCAATTAACCCGTTTCTTTCAATGCGTCGCCTGACGTAGTCGCCCCAAGGCGGACTTCTTTCCATGCCCCGCCTTTGGCTCCGCCCCTTACCTTCGATTGTCCATAGAGTGTAGTTTTTGTAAGTTTGTTTCTCTTCGGAAACGAATCTTTGTGCGTGAAACTTTATGTTGTCTCTAGTGATCACAACTGACATATTCGTGTTGGGAAAATGCAAGATTTTTCCGGAAAGGATTCCTTTAAGAACAAAGGAATAATTCAGTATGAAGATTGTTGAGCTAAAACGAACAGAGAATAAAGAAAAAGGCACCACTAATTCTTTTTGAGAATACTCGTATCCATGTGTGAATTTGAATGCAAAGATAAAAGCTGAAGGGCAGCCTAAAGAAAACTGCGGAAAAATTGTTAGCTATTAAAGTACCAAAATCGATCTCCATCTCTCAAACGTCTGAATTGATCGCCAATAATGCAGGCGAATGTTGGTCCCATCAAAGCATCAGGTAAACGCTGCTCCGCAATGCCGCCAACCCATAAATCGACATTGGCTATAAATGGACGATAAAATTACGAGGACCAGCAATTCACTAATCAAGCTACAGCCAAACCTGGATCTCCATACAGGCTCCTCATCTTGGCACGGACTGAGGCATCTGGAATGTCAG